TGGTAATCCATCCTGAAAAGTCTGTTTACCAACTTTCTAACCCTTTGACCTTTTTGATGGCCACTTTGACGCCACACAGTTTTGGCCACTTGGCTCATTCCTGAGGGCTGGCTAGAAAGAGGATAAACTTGCAGTGATTGACTCCCAACAAATCATCGGCGTCACTTGCTGACTGTGCGTCCAGTTAGCGATGGATATTGGCTACAGACTGGTAGGCCTCAATCACCCTCAATCGTCGCGAATGGTCACGTGCTGACTAAATGCTGAGACGTACCCGTATCGGAGACCTCTATGTTGCGGCGTTAGCCGTCTCTGTAGGAAGCGGGCTCTCTAGCAAAAACTATTTTGTCTACAGAAATTAGCTACTGTGGAGCATATTTCTACCAGCCATGGCAACCATGTAAGCTCAGTTACGAACCAATTTCAGCGTGCCTTTAAGCAAGAAAGCCTAAAAACGTAAAATTTAGGTGAGAACGAACTTATGGGACACCCTGTATGTGTAAGGCTGTGCGCATCGCTGGTTGGGTGCGCCGGTTTGTGCACAACGCTCGGAACCCCTCTGAGAGGAGAGATGGTGAGCTCACAACTGGTGAGTTGGACGAGGCACGGCGCGCTCTGATCAGAGACGTACAGGGTGACGTCTTTTCTGACGAGATCAGGCTGCTGCATGCCGGGAAGGCCCTTCCGCGGGGCTCGAGCCTCACTAAGCTGACTCCCTTCATCGACAGTGACGGTTTGGTCCGTATGACTGGCAGGTTACAGCTCTCAGATCTGTCGTATGCTGAGAAGCACCCTGTGATCTTGCCGAAGTGTCGTCTTTCAGAACTGTTAGTCAGAGAGCAGCACCTGCTGATGAGACATGCCGGTGTTTCGACGATGATCACCGCTCTGCGCGAGCGGTTCTGGATCGTGGGGCTGAGGTGTTTGGCGAAGCGGGTGAAGCGCCAGTGTGTCGTCTGTCGGAGACATGACGCACGTGCGTGTAACGAGCCGGCGGCGCCGCTCCCCGCTGCTCGTGTCAGCGAGTCTCCTTGTTTTTCGACCGTCGGTGTGGATATGGCCGGACCTCTGTTCTGTGTTGATTTTCCGAACAAGAAGTTCTATGTGGCTCTGTTCACGTGTGCGCAGGTGCGTGCGGTGCATCTCGAGCTGACGGAGTCTCTGTCGCAGGCAGACATTTTGTTAGCATTCCGACGGTTCGCTGCCAGACGTGGCTTTCCGTCTCGTGTTATTTCTGATAATGCGAGATATTTCAAGGCCGCAGACGTGTCCCTGCGGAGGTATTTCGGAGACAAAGCTCCGGAGTGGAGTTTCACGACGCCGGTGGCGCCGTGGCACGGCGGATTCTACGAGCGGCTCATTCGCTCTGTCAAGGTGGGTCTCAGGAAGTCCCTGGGGACCCGCTGTGTGACTCGGACTGAGTTGGAGACCATGCTGTCTGAGATAGAGGCATGCGTCAACTCACGGCCGCTCACGGCCGTCACAGACGACCCGGAGGGCCCAGACGCGCTCACCCCGAGTCATTTCTTAATCGGCCGAGGCGCGGGCTTTCAGAGCCGGGTTGAGAGTGCCCGGTCGGTTGACGGCAGTGCGCTCCAGGAGAGAGCGCGGATCAGAGAACGGCGTCTGAACCGATTTTGGCAGGTTTGGCGGAAGGAATATTTGCGTAGTCTTCCACCCACTGTGCGCCAGTTCCGTTCTCACGGTAAGTTGACAGAGGGATCAGTGGTGCTACTGGAGGAGGACCATGTTCCCCGGCAGAAGTGGGTCATGGGCAGGGTCACGAGACTGCTCCCTGGGCGAGATGGGAAGACTAGGTCAGTGGAGGTAAGGACAGAGAAAGGACTGAGGACGCGCGCTGTGCAGCGGCTGTACGACCTGGAGGTCGTTCCCTCTCTATCCTCCCAGGATCCTACGCGAGCTCCGGAGTGATTCGGATCTTTGTGTTCCTGAGAGCCGGATCCAGTGTGCCCTTTATGGTCTGGTACGTCACTGAGTCGAAAGGGGACGTTGTGCTGACGCACGTCGTGCTGTGCAATTTGTCTCACAACGATTGATCGAGCTGATTTGTTTGCGTTTGTAATCGTATTGCTTATAGTGCTCAGTGTTGTGTGGTGTGGCGCTGACTGGGAAATGTGCTCCATTGTCGCTGTGCCTCACTCATGTTAGATTTATCGCTGATTGTCCTAGTGATGGCTGATCAAACCTGTTTGCTAGTGTAACGAAGCTGTTTTGTGTTGACCTGAGGGTCAAGGTGGGGAGAATGTTACTGATTTAGGCGCCTCTTTCGGGAATGATTGGTGATGCGGACGAATAGAGGTCGCCTCGATCGGCGCTGACCGTCTGATTCAGTCGGTGCTGCCGAGAGACGGCGGCTGCGGGTTTTTATTGGTCGCCTCCGGCGGTCAGCTGACCGACGGCCGGGGGCGAGCGGCTGCCCGAAAGTTCGGGAATTGTGTCTGATGTGTGGTTGTTGCGGGTTGATGGCGGCGGTGTGCCGTGGTTACTGGTTTTGCTGGCGGCGGTGTGCCGTGGTTATGGTTTGATGGCGGCGGTGTGCCGTGATTTTGCTGGTTTTGAGGGTTCTGGCCGGTGGACATTGGAGTTGTGATGTTTCAGTTTTGTCCATTACGATATAAACGGCCTGCAAGAATCCGAGCTGAGTTTTTGGTGCTGAGTTCCGTGACATAGGCCAAGGAATTGTCATGCCACTCAAAGTATCAGTTGAGCTCTTATCTACTCGTACCTGAGTCATCAAATATTCCCTCTCTGTTCTCCACTCTCGACAGGAGGCAAGCAGCGCTCCCTCCCATATTGACACATTAAACATAACTACTGCGCCGCGGCAGAGCACCATCCGAGCTGGTCGAGCTAGTCGAACTGGTGGTCCAACAGATCCCAAAGCGGGCGGTGGGCTCTGCCTATGTAAATGCGCTGTACCGAAGCTGAAGCTTAGCTGCAGAGTTTTTCACTCCTCCTCTCTCCCCCCCCCCACATCACCCGCCACTCTTCGATGGCCAAACAATCAACAACCCGATCGATAAATGGTGATTCAGTCTGCAGTGCATGACCAAATCGGGCTGTGCTGCACTGCAGGCATGAATAAACCGACAGGCGATTGAGGAGCACCGGCTCGGCACGGGGTCACCGGCATCGTGGCTGGGGAGGACGGTGAAAACAGGGCGCCTGGGGCCATTTGATCAAGGTTCGTGAAATTCACACGTGATGCTTAGCATGTAGAAGATTTAGAAGGGCTACGGAGGGGGAGAAGTTCCAAATGTCACGTGACTAATATGCCCTCCGACGCCCTGTTTTCACCGGCGTCCGTGGCTGGCACACGACACTGACCCGTCGCGGCACAATCACAGACACAAGATGGGCTTCATGACCTCTACGGGTAATAAGTAAGCGGGACGTGTATAAGACATGTGTTATAAATTTGGCTCGGGTACTGATATGCTCAAAATTTCATCATGTCTCCTCCGTGGTAGGCAGTGTGTAGGTGTGCATTCATTGAGTGAGTGAGTGAGTGAGTGAGTGAGTGAGTGAGTGAGCGAGTGAGTGAGTGAGTGAGTCACTGAGTGAGTGAATGAATGAGTGAATGAATGAATGAATGAATGAATGAATGAATGAATGAATTGAATGAATGAATGAATTGAATGAATGAATGAATTGAATGAATAAATGAATGAATGAATGAATGAGTGAATGAATGAATGAGTGCGTGAGGGAGTGAGTGCTTATCCGTATGGTTTCAACTCAACTGTTGTTTATCCGGAAACCGACCTTTTTACACCAATGTTGACGAGTTTTGACCAGGAAAATAAAGACACTGCACTCACACTTAGGGGAAGGTGGGGTAAGACGGACCAGCTAAGGTTTGAGGCCGCATATCTTGCTACACTGCCCTCGTAATTCATATTATTTATAGTCTTCGGAATGCTCAATCCTTCCTCTGTTGATATGTGTAAAGACTAAATTTCAAATTAAAGACATCTAGGTGGTGGATGCTCTTAAAGAGGGACATGTCAAAAACTCAAACAAGAAAAAACGTGGGGTAAGATGGACCACCCAGCAGTGCCTGCTATCCGTTCATGTGTGTTACACTTCTGCTCTGTACTCTTGTAAGAAAAAGTAACCAGAATGGTAAAATAACAAAATGAGCCTTTATTCTTTACTCATGTGTGATGGAAGTGCAGCTAAAAGCTGGGAACATGTGTGTTGATTGTCGTTTGGCATGAATGCATGCTAACTGAGCACTTGCATGCATGGCTCACATGCAACAAAGACTCCTTCCTGAAAAATTAGCTTACTTAAACTTGTGTCAATGTTTTGGAAAAGAGCTTTCCGTATGCAGGGTACAATGGACCACCACAGGGTAAGATGGACCACAGTGGTCCGTCTTGCCCCAAATCTAAATTCTGTCATATTATCATGACGTATATGTCAAATAGCCCAACATTGCAAAACCTTGCCTTTCCTAAAGTGTGACTATAACTAAGTTTATAACTTTGTTCTTCACAGTTAAGTGCAAAATAGAAACTAATCATGCAAGAAAGGCTCCGTAATTGAATCACCCGTAGACGTCTTATATTAGATCGGTTTGACGAAAAACAACATTTTTCTCAATAACTCAAAAGCTATGCATCCTAGCAGCATGAGATCAAGGTGGCCATTGTTACGAAGGAAAACAAACATAGTGAGTGCATAAAGCAGTAGATACCAGCAGCGGTTCAGCCGGGAGGGCTGGTGGTCCGTCTTGCCCCGCTGGGCCGTCTTACCCCACATTCCCCTACCTATATGGCACACTGCACACAGAGCCATGTCCGAGCTCCCAAACGATAATGCTGTCTACACATGATGCACCGCAATAAAGCATACAAGTCCCGCATTCTACATCATCTCCCAAGTGAGCAGTGAGCACCCCTCGGCCTAATTCCATCATTCCACTGCGAGCTGGCGCCCAGGTGCGCAGCCCCCCCCCCCCCTAGTTCACTCACCAGTAGCAGCGCCGCGATACACTGGCCGGCCCGTTTCCACGTGTAGGGCACCTGGAAGCACTCCACCGTCCGGAAGCCCGTATAGCCCGTGGAGCTCATGGTGGTGGTCCTGTGCTCCCGCATGACGCCCCTCTGTCCGACCTCGGCGCACTGACCAGCTCGGGAGCAGCGCAGGGTCCGCAGCCGTCCGCCCGCGCAGAGGCGAGCCCTCCGCCGCTGCACGGCGGGCCCGCGCCATAATCAGCTACGAACATAATTCTACGCAGCAAACGGTGTTGGGCCGACGGTAATTATGGCGATGAAGACAGTCGCTGCATGAGATTATATGTGAGATACTATCTCACCGTGCAATTGGTGCATGGCCGTACCTGAACAGACGTTCCTTTCGTGTATAGCACAGCCCCCACACTGCAGTGTGCTGCACGACAGCAGTGTCCCGGCTCCCCAAACGGCGGCGTTTCTGCGGACGGACGGAGGAGGGCCCGGCTGCGGCTCGGTGACGGTCCCAGTGACGTCATCAGAAGTCAGGTGGGTGTGTTTGAGAGACGTGACCGTGTTTGACTGTTGGTCAGGTGTAACGAACCATCTTGGGCAGGGCAACACTCACGGCGCCCCGCCCACATGGTAGGTAGGTACTGGTAGTTACACAGAGGAGAGGCCCCGATCACACGGTACACTGGGGTGGCGCTTCGCCTAACATTATAAACCGGGGGCCTAACATTATAATAGCTATTCGTTCTAGAGATGTCAATCGGATACCAACTTTTTGGTAGGTATAGGTACCGATACCAAACCGATACTAACTTGGTATTTGGTATTTGAATTCTAATGTATTTGGTATTTTGTTGGTATCATGACCCTTCACTAACGTATAAGAGGCTGAGAAATTGGTAAAAAGTTGGTATTTCCCTCATGTTTTCAAGTTACTTTGGTTTCGGTTTTTCCTAATGGTTTTGGTTGGTATTTGGTTTGGTATCGGTGTTCCAATTTTCCGTAATTGACATCACTAATTCGTTCGAAAACGAATAGCTGAGGCACACCTCTTCTGCTGCCTCTTGAACACTGATACACTGATATTGAATAAACAGGCGGTGTCCCAGCGGCATGTGGGTATGCTAATGCATTTGCGTGTATGCCGTATGGTATGGTAAACTTCCCATTCATTTCGTGCAGTGCCTGCCCGCAGCCCTCCCAGACCGCAGTCTGAACACTGAACAAGTATCGGTGGCGAGACGCTGTGAATTCACTTGAGATTGGTTTTCTAACCACTAGGTTACTCTTTTAACCCGCGCCCTGGTGTGTGTGGGGGCCGGGGGGGGGGGGTATTTTTTGCCCCCTTCCTTCAGCCTTTTCGATATATCTCCAGAACCGCTACACCGATCGTCAAACTCGTATCTCGGATTTTTCCTAAAGGTCATATGAGGTCAGGTCATTTTCGTGACCTCACCATTACAGGGTGGGGCAGCATAATCGGGAATGCTTTTTGGGCTCTGGTCATGAGTAGGCATGGCATTATTTTGATAAATTATATCATGGCAATGAAACGCCCAAAAGTTGTGCATCATCTGACATGACTACATCCATGAGCATGCAACTTCCTGGAAAAGAGCAGCAAAATAATTCGACGGTGCTCCAAGTGCTTTGCGCGCGCCCATAGACACTAATGTTAAACGAGTAAAACAAGAACATTTTGTTTAAAACAATGCCATTCCACGTAAAGGTTGCTGGACAGGTCAACGTGTTATCACGGACGATAAGGATTGTGTGGGGATACTTAGGACAAAAAGTTAACGTAATCGTCGTAAAATAACTCTTAGCAGAGGACATACAAGATGACTCACTTGAATATAAGGAAGAAGCTCTTGAGCATATTAAAAAGAAACAATGTTCAAAACTTCAGCGACCAAAAATCTTATCACCGACTGGAATACGATAAAAAAGAATGGCATGCCATATAGGGGATTGTATCGAGAATATTGCAGCGGTCATGCAAAGTAAACATCCTGTTGAGGTGATGGACCTATGGGTGGTCTTCAAGGGAGGTGCACGTGGTGCACCCTACTTCATCGAGCCCGGATAAAACGAGCACCTCTGGTAAATACATCCACACTCTGGCAGACTCACGTGGAGTCGTCGGAAGAGAGGATCACTGACGGTCCAGATCACGTCTTACGAGCAGGCATCGGTAGGATTGTGATTGCAGGATTGCAAAATCCTGATTGCATTCCTTTTTGGTGGATTGCACCTGGATTTGAAATCCATTAAAAAAAAAAAACAGGATTTGATTGCGGATTGGATTGCATCATATTTCCAATTTTTGCAATCCAATCCGGATTGTGTTTGATAAGTGCTTTGAAATGGTTTGCTGCGATTGAAAATTATGAGATCAGCTTCATCGGCTTAATGTACTTTGCTATCAAGGGCTTTACATCGAAACTTGAAATAATTTAAACGCTTTTAATTTAAACGCTCAAAATAATATACGCTGATGAACTACATAGGAAGGGCAAAATTACGTATTTGAGGGCGAGTTTTAAAAATATAAAACACTGTTTGGGTAGAAGTTTAAATGTGGGGGTGTTTGACGCAAAAAATATTTCCCATAAAATACCTGTGCCTTAGATAGGAATTACTCGCAAGACTAGGTACTAGAAATGGGTGATTTGGGGATGGAGGCACGGCCATATGCCCCCCTCCCTCCCTAGACTAGGTACTAGAAATGGGTGATTTGGGGATGGAGGCACGGCCATATGCCCCCCTCCCTCCCCCAGATCCACTAGTGCACATAATGATACAACAGGATTGCAAAAAAGGATTGCGGATTTGATCACAATCCGAGTGAAAAAAGGGGATTGCGGGTAGGAATGCAATCCACTTTGGCACAAGGAATGTGGATTGGGAATGCAATCCTTTCAAAAAGGATTTTCCCGATGCCTGCTTACGAGGACTCTGTCCGTGCTGGTACTGCAGTGAGGACGACATGTTATTGTGTAGGGCACCTCCACCTGAGATGAACCAAAAACTTCTGGTCCTTCAACTCCGCCGATTTAAATCCGACCAAATTCTTTACATGGAGCGTTTTTTGGTAGAAGTTTAATGAACAACTTATCATCAGTAAAAACAGTCTTCAGTGCAAGGTACGAAGCTGATGGGCGATCATGGACAAGCAGGAGGTTGCACGTGCATGCGCGTGCTTTTGGACCCGCCTTGAGAAGGTCATCGACGCCGAGGGCGGTCAAATAGGATGAGGGATAGGTAAAAGGTGACCGATTGATAGGATGTTGCTAAAATAGTGCTTGGAGCTATATTTTTAGATTCATGACCAAATAATCCCGTTTGATATTTATTCCCGATTATGCTGCCCCACCCTGTATAAGTCAATGGGGAAAAATAAAAACTGCTATCCTGGCGCCGGGAACGATCTCCAACTATCTCAAGCACACAGAATCGTGATTTGATGCACTCCTTGCAAGATAAGATGCGTTACTTTTGCAATATTGACCTTGCGTGACGTCATTTATGACGTCATCAGGGTCATATTAGTTTTTCGTCAATAACTCCCGATCAAATTGAGCTAGCGAGTCGGGAAAGCCACCAATGGACTCAGGAAGACCTGCCGAATCGAATGACATGCGACATGACCTCTTTCGACCAGCTTCGCGACCTGGGGGCGCTGACCTGACCGTGACCTGAAGTCAACACCATAAGTTGACCTGACCCAAACAAAAGTATATCATTCGACGCGCCTGAGCGAGGCGAACACGATACTACCAAAATCGCGGCTCTGCGGTCGTTTTTTTAGAAGTTATTCACCAAAAACTGAACCTTACCTTGGGGCACTTGACCTGACCTCAGAGGTCACCGGTTGACCTAGGACCTTAAAATCGGGTACCAATATCTGCGCCTCGTAACGGCGTACACGCTTGTTTTTTCCGCGACGCGCTAGCTTCACCAGGGGCTAAACGGCGAGGGGGGGTCGTACCCCCCACCCACCCCCACCCCCCTCGGCCGGCGCGTATGTAGAAAATCAATAGGTCCGGCGAGGGTTAAAGCGACGGGGCGCGTCAAAAGGACCTATAGGCTTCGTCTGATTGCCAAAATAACGGTCACAATCGATTCCTCAGTCGAAGGTTCCAGACCTGTGCCTAAAACCGACGGGAGACGATCCGAGACAGGAGCTGACGGCGACTCTCATTCACCAGTTCAGCAGCACTCGCCTGGTATTTTGATTGAAAGCAATCGGTAATCCCGAAACGGCCTCTTTATTCAAGCAAAACCAATTACAACAATTACAGCCATCAATGTCTAGAACAGCTTTATTTTTGCAACTACAACAAAACAATATACCTTTTTTCATCACCAAGCTGGATAAGTGAGGGGAAACGGCGAGAATCGGCATACTTTCGTTTCAATGTGCATTTGACGTTTGGGTCTGATCCTCCACCGATCACATCGAACCCAGTGCCACCCAATGCCCCTATAGTCCACCTAGACAGTGCCTATTGGCCTACCCATGTGAAACCGTACGGTCCCTGCGTCCCTCAGGCGGTCAGCCGCTGACGGACGGTCAGCCGCTGTCGTACGGTCCCTTCCCTGTGTCCCTCAGACGGTCAGCCGCTGGCGGACGGTCTCAGTTGGCGGCCGGGTCGCTGCAGTACTCGCCGTCGGCGGCGTTGGCCGAAATCCAGGAGAGCGCATCGGTGACCCTGGCGTAGACGCCCGGGTAGTTGGGATCGGCGCAGCTGATGCCCCACGAGACGACGCCGATCAGCGAGTATCGGTTGTTCTCGAGGCTGACCAGCGGGCCGCCGCTGTCGCCCTGACACGAGTCCTTGCCGCCGGTGCCCAGCAGGCCGGCGCAGAGCATGTTAGAGGTGATGGAGTAGTCCGAGTAGGCCGACTGGCAGGCCGAGTTGCTGATGACCGGGACGGTGACCTCACGCAGCGTGGTAGCCTGCGGGCCGTCCGGCGAGGTGGTGCCGAAACCGGTGATGATGGCGTCGGCGCCGACAAAGTCGTTGGAGGCGGTCGGCAGGCAGGCGGGCGCGATCTTATTGTCGGCGGGGAAGGAGATGGCCGTGGCCAGCTTCAGCAGCGAGAAGTCGTTGGCGTTTGTGCCAGAGTTGTAGTTGGGATGATTCTTGATCTGGGCGATGTTGAAGCGGATCTCTCCGTCGTCCTGGTTGATGAGGTGCTCGCGCAGCAGGACCTGGATGCTGCCAGCCGAAGATCCGGTCGTGCAGTGAGCCGCCGTCAGCACGTAGCGGCTGTTGATGACGGTGCCACCGCACCAGGTGCGACTGTTGCCGGTGCTAACCAGACCCGCCTGCCACGGGTACTCGTTGGCCTCGGTCTCCACGCCGCCGACGATGCGCGAGGCGCGGTTGACGTTGCCGCAGGCGCAGTTGTCGGCGGGCGGCGGCGGCGCGGCCGTGGTGGTCGGAGGCGACGCCTCGCCGACCGTGACAGCGCACACGAACCCGGAGCGCACCACCGAGTAGTCGGTGTGCCAGTGGATCGCCATCTGGTCGATGGCGGCCACGCCGCTGGGCCCGTTGGAGCCGCAGAACTTGTTGCCGTCCACAGACAGCCAGTCGTACGCGCAGCTCGAGTGGGACTCGACGTCGAACTGCGAGCACGTCACCGACAGCTGGTCGCCGGCCTGGTCGGCGTACAGCTGGTAGTAGCAGTCGACGTCGTTGCTGTAGTCGCCGTCGCCGTCGGTGATAGTGTGCTGGCCGCGCGCCAGCCGACTGTGACCGCAGCTGAGCTGCGAGCCGGTCGGCACCACGGTCGGCTCCACCACCGTCACCGTGCACCGGTAGCCCGACCGGACGACGCTGTAGTCGCTGTGGAAGTCGATGTCGAGCTGAGGCGCGGCCACGGTCGACGGCCCGCTGGAGCCGCAGTACTTGATGCCGTTGACTCGGAGCCAGTCGTACTGGCACTGGGAGTGAGACTCGAGGTCGAACGCCTCGCAGCTCAGCTCGAGGTCCTTGCCGGTGTCGGTGGTGAGCGTGTAGACGCAGTCCTCGTCGTTGGGATAGTTGGACGGGTAGTTGGGCGACTCGATAACTGCCGTCGAGCCCTCGGCGACCACATGAGAGCCACAGGACAGGGCGCCAGAGCGCGGGCTCGGAACGCCGGTGTCGCCCTTAGGAGCCGGCTTCCTTTCTTCGGGAGGCGGCTTCCTACCCTCAGGCCCCAGATTCTTCTCTTCAGGTTCCGGCTTCTTCTCTTCAGGAGGCGGCTTCTTGTCCTCAGGGGGCGGTTTCCTGGCATCCCTGCCCTGGGGTGTGCTGGGGAGCGCCAGAGCGCCGGCCAGCAGGCAACCGAGCAACATCAGCTGACACGTCCTCATCCTGTGACCTCCGGAGAGCAGAGAGCTGACTGGGACGCCGACACCACGGGACATGCTCTATTTATACCGCTAGGGGTGCCGCTTTCAGCTGCAGCGGATCCGCAGAAAAATAGCTGAATCAGCTCAGGATTGACAAGCGATTACAAATGGCATGAAAACGAGCACAGCCACAGCAGTTGATACAAAGACTTCGGGCCGTCGGACACCTTCACACAGGTGTCCTGCGCGATCGAGATAAATGTGGTTGGCTGTTCAGGATGATACTGCAATAAAGCTGCAAGAGGACCGCAAATGTGGCGACGTGGGCCTCTGCCCTCTGAACTTTGTGCAATATGTGGACTAGGTGGCGCTGAGCTCACGTCCATGAAGTTAGCGTCAGCAACAGCAACGAATATAGCGTCGGATTCAGAATCGCATTAAAAACTCGTATTAGGTCAATTGGGGAACTGGGAGCACGAATATGACATTTATTTTGCCCTAGCTCCCTCCTTCATCCCTTAATCGTTCCCTAAAGGACGGGGCGCGTAGAAAGTGCCTCAAGACTTCGTCTGATCGCCAAAACAATGGTCGCAATCGATTCCTTTGGTCAATATCTACCCTCAGTCGAAGGTTTCATTCAGACCTGTGCCTCATATCCCTCATCCCTTAAAGGGACCCTCCCACCTTCAAAAAAGTTTATGAATTGGCATGAAAGTGATGTCGCTCGGTTCAGAAAGAGCGAAAACGAATATCTACCAAATTTCACCGAAAAATATTCACCGGTTTGCAAGATATTAGACTTTTACTTTTGTTTACTTTTTTGGGATCTCCGCTGTTTCTAGCGACTTTATTTTAGAAGTGCGGCGTTTGCGGCAGATGTTGCGCGCAAATAGCATATACCACCGCGTGCTACAAAACGTTTTAGTCAAACATTTAAAAATCGTTAGATATTTGCGCTGACGTCACACATTCAGAGGGGTATTCCTTAGCATTAGCCCCTCTGAATCAAAATGCTGCAATTTTGAAATTCAATATTTCCGATTTAAGGCATTTCTCGATGTTGTGAGTGCCGAAACCGGTAATTGTGAGCCAGGGACCCCATTTTGGCTATCTCAACTCAAATTTAAAGGGACCCTCCCACCTTCAAAAAAGTTAATGAATTGGCATGAAAGTGATGTCGCTCGGTTCAGAAAGAGCAAAAACGAATATCTACCAAATTTCATCGAAAAATATTCACCGGTTTTCAAGATATTAGACTTTTACTTTTGTTTACTTTTTGGGATCTCCGCTGTTCCTAGCGACTTTATTTGAAAGTGCGGCATTTGTTGCGCGCAAAGCAGCATATACCACCGCGTGCTACAAAACGTTTTAGTCAAACATTTTACGGACGTTCGAAAGCCTGATGACGTCATCAGATTCCCGTAATGGTTAAGAGATAGGGACCACGCTGGTCCCACCCTGCAAGTAAAGGGAAGAAATTTCTTGAACACCATAAAGCTGCGGGGGTTGCGACCAGGATAAATGGTGGTTTCTGAGCCTGGCCGCAAACTTGGCTATCTCAACTCAAAACTAATGTTAAGGTGGGAGGGTCCCTTTAATGTTAAGGTGGGAGGGTCCCTTTAATCGATCGTAAGCCCTCGCCCGCAGTGCGGGCCCCGCACATGCCATTTTCCCATCCTAGAACTCACATGGATGGGGGGGGGGGAGGGGGTGCCACCCCGCACCATTTCGTTCCTGTTGGAGATACAGCTTCGCGGCAAAGACCAACAGATTCTTGGGGAAGAGACGAATCCAATGGTATCCAATTTTACCTCATTAGGTGGTCAGGTCAAACGAAAAAAATGTTGCTGTTTGGGTCCCCCGTTGGAATGTCACGTGCGGTGCCCATCATGTGCCCATCATACACCGATGGCTCTGCCGTTTGTGGTGCCAAGCCAGCTAGAACAGCTCTTTGTCACACTATCCGACTAGGTTTTTACTGGCTGTGGTCATTTCAGGTCAAGCTAGGTCAAGGTCAATGATATGTGTTTGTATGTCTATGTGTGTCTGTGTGTATACTGATGTGTGCACGGATTGTTTTTGTATTACATGAGATTATGATCTGAGAAGCTTCTATCAAAAATGCAGTAAAAAAAACTTCACGAAAAGACGATGTGGCATAGCCCGGTAAGCATTCCATAAGCACAATCTGCATTCCTGGTTAGGAAGCAGACGAGTAAGCAAAATATGGCAAATGACACCGAATGCACGTTAATAGTATATTATCTATTCAGCTACGGTATATACATTGGTCATCACAGACTCAGTATCGGCGATGTAAGCATATAAAACGCTCGTCGACATAATACGAAATGACGAAGTCCCTTATCGCTCACCGCCCGTCGCGATCTACTAGGACCGGCATGGACGGATTATTCTATTGCAAACCAAACATTCATCACTCAGTGGATCCCACGTAAGCTCATCAAACCACACAGAGATACTGCATCGCAAGCCTTTCCAAAGGGCACAGCTAAAATATTCGCTTACGCAGACAGAATGAGGATGCCATACCTTTGAACAATGAACCGCTGAGAATCATTAGATAGGAGTTAACTCAAAGTGAGAAATGGTTTAAAATTGATTGGATTACATATGTAAGACACGTTACGATGAGAATGCACCGCGACAGGTATTTTTTTTACACCATTAGAGTAGCAATAGTGTCAATGTTAACATATCGCCATATGTCAAGTGGTAGGTACCCATAAAACAGTTGCAGCACGACTCGTCACGTTCCATAGATTTACCGACGACTTATATATCACAACACGATGCATCCATCATCCGTTGAAAACAAACTTAAAGGGACTATCCCACCTTTAACATGGGGTTTGAGTTGAGATAGCCAAGTTTGCGGCGAGGTTCAGAAACCACTATCTATCTAGGTTGCAACCCCCGCGGCCTCTTGGTGTTAAAGAAATTCGTTCCCTTCATTTGAAAATGGGCCTTGTACAAGGCCCTATCTTCAACATGGAGCGACCGTTAGTGTGACGTCACCTCGTTTAGTCATTCTGATTTAAATGGGTTTGTTCGTTGAAAAATCGCTTAAAACTTGGTCTGAACTTTGTTGTGGTGCCTTTAGAGTAAAAAGAATCAGCTTTATGACAGTATTGTGGCCTGGGGAAGGAGGTAATTTTGGGCTGTGACGTCACATATTTGAAAGTTTGTGTTTGGAATATGGGAAGCCTAAAATGTTTAATGAAAAATAAATGCCAGAACCGTGTTCCTGGTCATCCAATCTATAAAGTCGGGCACAATTTAACTGGTTTTAACAACATTTTAGAAGGTGGTCCCTTTAAATAGGGCAATCAATAAGACAATTTTATAGACGATACGGTGAGCATAAGGAGATGTCTGAGGATTAGAATGGTCGAACAAAACATGCTCATGCATGGACCTGAAATGCTTAAAAACGTCACAATGAAAATCAGCAAAACAGAATTCAACTGCAGGTCCAAGTTGCCCCTAAATCTTACGTATTTAAAAAAGCAAATGACGATTAACACCTGGTAGCGTCTCGAAATGAGAAAGAAAAAAAAAACAAATTCACCAATCGATTATCATGATAACATCATAACATTGTAAGTCACATAAGAAGGCACTGATCCACTCAGCGTTTCGCCACTGGACCGTTGGTGCTATGCTCCCCACCACTACGTTCGTTTCCACGCGGGTTTCGCACTCGATCTCTTTCTCATCATCTTTGGCTCACACTGGGCGTAGCCCTCCCCAGATCCTTTCTTGCGTATAATCGCGGTCTTGGGCTTCCTCTACGTCACTCAACTTAGCACCGCTCCACCGACCCGAGACCTCTCACTGGCGGCCTCCTAGCTCTGCCGATCGGAAGTCAACGTTCTGCACAGCACGGGTGTCGAACAGACGGGGTCGTGCCCTGCCATGACCTATCTACCGCGACCGGCTGTGACCTGACATGGCCTGTCGTCCGGTGGCCGATCAGACCGCCACCTCTGGCGCCTCTTCCTCCCTCTCTATGTTGGTGTACTGCCGCGACCGCTTCACGTTCTCGATGGCGGTCTGCAGCTGCGGCTGCAGGTTCTTGGCGCCGCGCGCCAGCCGCCGCCGCTGCACGAAGATGACGCCCACCAGCACCACGCAGGCGGCCAGCGTCAGCATGCCCAGGATGACGGAGGCGGCCGAGGCGCGCGCCGGCGCCTGCTGGCACTCCATCTCGCGCAGCTGCATGATGGGCCGGCCGGCGTTGGTGAGCGGCCGGCCCGTGTAGCAGCGGTACTTTTCGTGCTCGAGCGCGCGCGTCTGCGTGGTCATGAGCCAGTGGTAGAGTGGCTGGATGTTGCAGTCGCAGATGAAGGGGTTGCCGGTCAGCCGGACGGTGAACATGTCGTCCCGCGCGGCCAGCTCGTCCAGCATGGCAGTCGTGTTGGCGTCCAGCCGGCGCAGCATGTTGTACTCGAGACCCAGGTGCTTCAGCTTCGGCAGACACTTGGCGGACAGGTTCACATCCGTGAGTCGGTTGTTGCTGAGGTAGAGCTGCTCCAGCGACGGCAGGTGAGCGAATACGCACGGGTCGCGCAGCACCCAGATCTCATTCTGCTCCAAGTGGAGCTTCTTCAGCTTGGTGAGCTTGCTGCCCTGGAAGATGACCTCCAGGCTGGCCATGTACCAGCGCGCGTCCACCTTTTCGGTGAAGGAGTTGGTGAGGTGCAGCGCCTCCAGGTTGACAAAGTTGCTGAAGACGCGCGGGTGGCGCTGCTTGTCGACGATGGAGAGGTTGTTGTGGTTCAGGATCAGCGTCTTCACGCTGGAGACCCGGTGGAACGCCTGGCCGTCGATGTCCGTGATGCCGTTGTTCTGCATGTCGATCGTCTCCAGGTCGTCAAAGTTGAACTCTGTTCCGAACAGGTTGGGCGGCAGGCGCTCCAGGAAGTTGCCGGTGAAGATGAGCACCTCGGTGTTGTCCGGCAGCGCGCTGAGCGCGAACGGATCTGTGAAGCGCGTGTTGGTACAGTTGACCACAAACT